GATGGGTACCGATAAATTTATGGAGGGCTGCCTGTGGTCTTATACCCCATGCACAATCATTAAATCATTAAAGGTGGGCTAATCTCAGAAGAGTAAGACAGTAAGATGATGCTAACAGTATTTTTTCCTTTCTTCAGTTGCTGTGGATGTTTGCCTGCCTTATTCAAAGACAGGTGCTGCCAGTGGCATACCCAGAAAGCAGGAAAGAAGGAAGCGTTTAGGACAGTTAAGCAGTTGAGTGGCAGCAAAAAGTCCCTTAGGACAAGGGCCTTGTTACAGAATCTGTCTGGATGTAGCAGGCACCCCAACACCAGCGTTAAGTGCACGAGGGGATGGTCTTTGGCCAGCAGCATGCATTGCTGTATGTGCTGCTTCATGCTGTCTGTCTGTCAGAATTGGTGGTAATAAAGCACGAGGGGAAAGCCATTGGGAACCAGCGCTACCCCTGAGAGCTGCTGAAAGTTCAGTGTGGGCCATCAGGCAAACAGCAGCTGATCACAGAGCAGGCTCATTCAGTGGTCTCTAGCCTTCCTAAACCAGCCCTTTGAATGGCATTTCCTGCTTATTTAGGGACAGAAAATTGGCCGAGAGCATTGTTGTGGGCGGTGCATAGCCCACAGCACTCAGCTTGCCACAGGCAGGGACATGCCTGTGGCTGCTGAGTTTGCAGGTTAAGAGGCGATGCCGTTCCTTGTGTGGAGTGCTGGCCGCCTGATCCGGACACAGTGCTGGCTTCATCACTTGAGCTGAGCATGCAGTGCCTAGCGTAATGCCACAGCAGTACTGAGGCCAGAATAGTGTTGAAACGAAGAGGGTTAGTTTTAAAAACAAACAGAAAAAGGCAGCCCAAACACATTCAACTTATAGCTTGAAGATTCTTATAATCTTCTTTCTGAGTCTTGGAAAAGTCAATCATTTTGTTTTTCCCTCTGTGTGTTGTGCTTTGACACCCTCTACCTATACTGGTGTGCTTCAACTTCACATGTTGCATGGGAGATGTTCTGATAGGAGCCAGACACAACTGCAGTAAAACTCTCTTAAAACTGGAGAAGGCTGTGTGGTAACTGTCTACTTGTCTGAAGTCATACAAAGAGGGGGAACAGAGTAACTGCTCGCTGTCAAAGACAATGTGGAAGGAAGCAGGTTCAAAAAACAAGGCAAGAGGAGGTGTGTCCGCAGCAGCAGGCTGAGCTCTGGCAGCGCTCTCCAAGCTGGGGCGGGTAGTGGAGACATATGTGTTCTAAGGCAGGGTGTGTGGTGTCAAGTTTGAGGAAAAGAAATCCATTCCTCGTAACAGCACGAAAGCTGTGGCTGGCTGGGGAGGATCCCAAGCCACAAGTGGTGGTAGACAGGGGGGCACTTGAGGCAAATACGTACTTGTCCTCTTGGTACCAATTCCTCCAGGCACTGGGCTAGGTGGACCTTTGGCCTGATCTGATGCAGCTGCTCTCACCATTATTGTACGGATATTAAATACATGTCTGTGCTGCAACTGGCAGGCACGAAGATAACGGAAGTGGAGAGCTAGAAATCTCCTTGGTATGTGCAGCAGTTACGTAGGAGAGCGCCGTACAGTGAGCTCGGGCAGTTGTGTTGGGATGAGCTCTTCAGAGGGCTCTTCCACAGGGCTAGACAAAGCTAGGGTGGCAAGGATGAGACAAGTAGTTTCACCTACTGTTTCTTACTAAGTGTATTTTAGATGGGGTTGAAGGCTTGCATAAACACTTCTTCTGCAGTATTTGCAATGGTATGACTACATAATCCACAGGACTAATTTAGATTTTATTCTGGTATTTCTCAAATATAAAAAGTCAAAATTCTTACATCAATCTTTAAAGAAAATCCATGCAAGCAGGTCAAAATGTTTACAACTTCATTTGCCCCACCCTCCCACCCCCTTCCCTTCAGTTTTTGCTTCACAAACCATGTTGGTAAGTAAACCAAGTGTTTGCCTCTCAGGTTTTTTTCACAGCACATTGTTAACAAACCAATGCTAGGCTAAGTCAGGGGTGCAGTAAGCACCAAGATAAGATTTTTCACTTTAACAGCCTCTCTGCAGTACCTCAGCATTTCTTGCGGTGTTTAAAAGCACATCCATTTCATTTAATTCTGGCTCTATATGACTTTAAACTTTAAGGCTATTTCTATTTGATACCACCATAATCTAACTCATGATAATCTCAAAACCTAACAGCCAGGAAAAGCAGCAGTACAAACTGGACTTTTTGAAAATTGCAGATGACAGCCCATCTCTTCTCTTTCTCCTCTGGAGAACCAAATCTGGATACATTGTATAGAATTTATGGCATGAGAAAAATCCCAAAGCTGCTCTGTATGAAATAGGTTTAGCCCACCTAAATAGAGATGCATGTAAAACCAAAATGCTTCTACATTTAAATTGACAGGTAGTAGAAAAAACTTAAGCCTTCCTGTTCTGATTTTTACACAGACCCTTTCTGTTGAAGTTCAGTGTCAGATTTCATTAGGACTGAAGCCATACTGCTGCCTTACTACAGCTGTTCCTGTAGCATAACTGAAGTGTTTTCAATTTACCTTTACAATTCACAGAACATTTATCTTTAAAAGGGAGTAGAAGTCAAACTAAGCAATAGAGTTTCATTCCGAAGGTTGCATAGAGACTGAAGAGATTTATACAATGAATGCTGTTTAAAAAAACCCCAACCTGTCTAGCACTACTGAACAGCTCAAATGTGTGTGACCAAAAAATAACCAAAATATTTATAGGCAATCAATTCTGCGTTTGTTAGCAACAGCAATACTGTACATTTTTACATTATTATCAAATACATAATTCAAGAGTTACAAAATAAGATCATGCATTACCACTAAATCTCATACAAGCTTGGATTGGTTTCATTCCAAGAATCTGAAACGGAGACAGAAGCATTTTTTTTATGAATAAGAACTCAAACTCTGGATTCTTGTTTTAGCTTTCACAGATTCTATATAATCTTGTTACAAGAAAGCCTGTACAAATTTGCTCAATTTAAAGTGTTAAAATGACTACTGAACAAAAAAAGTGAGCATCAAAGTGATCAAAAAAGGGAGCTAAATGATTCACTCCTTTAAAGGCAGCGTTAGAGCCAGAGGTACCCTTACACACTGTGGGTATGATTTTAACAAAGATTAGACATCCTTCAACACGCTCAACTCCACCTTCTTCTGTTTCACCTGGCAAAACAGTGCTTTTGCTAGACCATTCAGTTTAAAGAAGTGAGCTGAGCAAATGGTGTCCCAATCTGGATTAGGTTCGGCGTAAAGTACACGTACGTTTGCATGCATTACTGAAAAACCAACAGCCCTTCCCCAGCCCGCCACCTGGTGACTGAAAGGCTGGATAAGCTCTTGGCAATGCATCCACCTTCAGGTGCACCCGAACAGAGCTGGGTGTTCTTCCCAGTTCTGGAAGCGACCTGGAATAGGAGATACGGGGATGGAAAGCAGCATCCTACCCAACATTTCAGAAGTCTTCAGCTTTGTGGCTCATGCCTCTTGTCAGTAGTATTTATGCCTCTTCAAAGAGAGCAGCATTAAGAGATCACATCATCTGTCTCCCTAGTTTCACTGCATTTACATATGGCACAAGATTGGTTTTCTAAGGAGTAACTTGTGGCAACAACATTTTTTCCTAAAAAAGTGTAACAGCACAAAAAAGTTTAATTTATAGCAGCATTTTACACAATTTGTGTTAAAAAAGTAGAAGTTAACCATTTGTGTATTGAGTAACAAAAGGTTTAAATTACATTTATTTTCCATTTTACACTCACTATTTACTAGTTGGACTATTTACAAAGGTTCAAATGTTGTGTAAGAGAATGAGCTTTACCCAGAATAAGCTTCACATGTGAGGTCATGGTCTACCTCAACCTCTGTTTTGGCTGGCTATAGAGGAGGTACAGTTGGGTTTAGATCCTAGAAAAAATTCAGAATTAGGATAGTCATATGAATTACATTGTGTTCTTGTAGAAGAAGCCATACACACACACATACACAGAGAGAGAGTAATCCTATGGTAAAAAGATTAAGACCGACAGTGGATTTAGTTTTCATCTTTTTGGCTGAAAAAGAGGACAAAATAATTAAGAACAGGGAAGTTGGCAGCTGTACCTCATTTATTCTGACTAAGTTTTTATCAAGAGGCCAGCTTTTAATTCAAGAAGCTATAGCAATCAATGGTAAAACAGTAAAACCAAAGTATTTGAGAATTAACTTAAAATTGGGGCTTTCATCACACCTTCTGAATAAGACAAAGGAATATCATTTCTCCACTAGTGTAAGTATCAACCCACCTGCCTCCAAGCCCAGGAGGTACCGCTACTGGCTCCTGCTGGGCAAGACACTTCAACACATGCTTGCTAACTGACAGCTCTCTAACCTAAGGGTGCCCCTTGGGTAAGTCTTACTTTCCTCTAAACGTTTTTAAATTACGACAGACTGCAGGAACACTACATAAGATGCTTCTCATTGAAGATTCAAAGTTTTTGGAACCTGAAGTGTAATTACACCATGAACAAAACATGTATCAAAATACTAAAAGGACAAAAAGTGGGGGAAGAGGGATCTACAATGCTTTTCATGTAAGTCTTCTGAAAGTTCATCAGCTGACCAAGTGAGGAAACAAAAGTATAGGGGATAGTTTTGGTAGTTGCAAGACAAGGTTATTGTTCTTGCTTTAGTTATACATTACATGAAGATTGCATAGGACAAGGCAACCTTTTGGATAACTGAGGCAAGCAGTGCTTAGTGTTGGTATCCTTTGCTCTCGACAGGCTGAATGTGGTTTAGTGCTTTACTGTAGTCACACTTGCGCTTCTCTGCCTTCAACACACCCATTTACCCAAATACTGCCACCTTACTATCTTAGCGCTTCATCTGTGGATACCAAGTAAGAGTTTAGTATAAGACTATTTGCTCAAGCTTTTTTCTAAGCAAGTACTCTTGCGGAACTACTGACTAAAACTTGACAAGTCTTAAATAAGCTGAACACCACTGAGATGCATATTTTATTTTAGCAGATATGGAAATTTATATACTCAAGTTTCTTTCTTTTTTTTTTTAAAATGGCCTATTAAGGCATCTTAAAAAAAAATCCATATATGGCTTTGGTTTGCTGAAATACTATTTTACATTGTTAAAAAGGAAAAACATGTTCAAATAAATTTGACATTATGACACATTCACATATTTTACTTAGAATTGACAGTTATACAGATGCCTACACGTGATCACAGATGTCTCCCCTTGTGATGGCATGAATAAAAAGGTAATCCAAATGTTTATCTCACAGTAGAGGGCAACCCAGAAGTCTGTGCAGAAGTGACATATAAGGAGTTATTATCTGGAAGAGGGGGGACCACAGAGTTTCCATTAGTGGGTGAACAGCTCAGTTTCAGTTTTTCCAAGTACTCTGCATGAACAGGCTTGTGACACTGAAGGACCTTGATGGCATCTTCTACTTTAAACCATTCTCTTTTCCTTCCTGAATGAGTATAATCCACAAAGACAGAGTTACAAATTTGTAACAGCACCATTTGTGGCTATCTGATCATTCACTTTTTCTCATTTCTTTTACTTTAGAAGTTCGAGTTGTCAAGCAAAAGACAGAGAGTGAAAAGACCTTGAAAGAACTGATGAACACAAGAGATTCACTCAAGCTTACTGAAATGCAGTTCATAATAAAGCTTTTCAGATAACTGTCTTGAAGCAGATACTGGGCAGAAGCTCATACGACTCTTCATATGCTCCAAAAGCCACATCTAGTCCTTACAGAAAAGGTTATTATTATTTGAAGGACTTCATACTGCCTTCCCACATTGTCATACCTAGCAGAAAACCAAGCTGCAGAATGAACATGCATGCATGAAGTTACAGAAAAAGGAGGCTTGGTCTGATTTAGAAAGCAGCGTTCCATACTCAAAACATATCTCTGTATGGAGTTACTGAGGTTAGCCGTAAGTTTTGAAAAATAATATATCTTATACCAGAGATACGTTTAGATAAGTTCTAAGACTTATCTTAGTGAGACAGTTCTAGGACCATCTTTCTTATGCAAGTCAGTCCTTTAAAATTAGAGGCCTCTGAAAATACTTACAGACAAGGTCAAGGACAGTATTGTTAAAAGTGGGATTAATTGTATTTTTCATTTGGTTTTACAGTGTTACAGGTACTACGCTTGAACATCTGCATGCTTAAGACATCTATAAACTGCTTGTTTAAGACCAAGGTATGTGCCTCCCCCCCCACCCCAGGACTGTCCACCCAGCTAGCATCCCACTGCCAGCAGCGCTCTCCAGAAGGAAGCCGGCAGTAGCCCCAGGGCTGGATGCTCCCCTCTACCCCGCAGCTTGGCACTAAGCAGGAGCAGACCAGTACTGTCCTCACGCGCCCTGTGCGGTTCCAGGTACAAAAAAACCCCTCCAAACAATCCCACCCCGCCAATATTGGTCCTCTTAAGTAATGGACCACTGATCAGTGTTGCTACACAGGGAACCGGACATACAATTAAGAGGGTGCACTCCCCACAACTCGATAGTATCAGAAACAAAACATTCTCTCTCCACCTGAAAAAAACTGAGCACAGTTTTGAAACTACCCTTACAGTTACATGCCATTTACTGACAGATCAATAGTGCTACGTTTAAGAACGTTAACGCTCCTAAAGCGCCACCCCCTGAAAAGGGCAAAGCATAACCAGTCAAGGTAGGATGTAATTTTTTTATACCAATTTTTAGTTAACTAAAACTTCAGCTGGACAAATACACTGAATGAACTAAGCTTTTTTTTTTTTTTTTTTTTTTTTTAAACTTAAGGACAAAACCAGTTGATGTTTACCTAATTAAATTCAAAGTGGAAAATCCATACATCACCACAAAGGATGTTAATGTAACTAAACTGCATGACAGGTATCTGCATGACATAGATGTATATATAGGAATAAACACCTCTTAAGGTCAGCACTATCACTGCTGAAAAATTAGGCTAAGGTGAAAGTAAATACTAGTGATTTTTTTCCCCCAGGAGAATCAGGAGAAAAAGAACCTCATCAAAACTTTCCAAACTTTTTTTTTTCCAAATACACTTTCAAAAACACCCTAGAGTAACAGACAGCAAAACATTCTACTTTTTAAGGAAAAAAGAATTGGTCAGTATAATATTTGGCTTTAAAAAAAAAAGTTAAGATCTATATCAGCAACTAATAATGAAATTTATTCCATTGTAATACTTAGAATACCCGAACATAAGAGTAACACAGTATGTTGGAAGCAACCCCAGTTATAAGTGTACGAAAGTGTGGAAGAACAGCATCACAATTTCCAGTAATTTCAGTTCATAGAACAGAATTAGTATTCCTCCCAGGATTATATGAATTGTTTCAAGAAATGAAAGAAGTTTGCTTAATACATTTTAAGTATAGTACATGAGGGCAGAAAATAGGTTTACCTATATTAACTGAATCCTCCCAGTCTTCCAGTATTTCCGTCACAGTAAGAACATAAACGTATGTCCTATGCTTCCGATCCTGGTTCTGCTTGAATATTAGAAGTAGACGTTTTAATTCTCAGCAAAAAATAATTTACAGACTTACCACAACTATAAGATTAGAAATTACTTACCTCTGAAGGATACTTGCCAGCAAGACCTGGCTTTTATTTTCATTAAATAAACATCTGTACTGAGCAGGCCCAAAAGGATGGGAAAAATGAAGTTTTATTTGAAAAGACAGCTATTC